CTCCCCTGAGGAGGAGCGGCGGCACCTTCTGTGTCCTGTCAGAATGCTGAGGCATTACCTGGCCATGACCTCGTCATTCAGGTTGGGTGGTCAGCTGTTTGTGTGTCTGGGCCCCAAGAACAGGGGCGCCCCGCTGTCAGCTCAGCGGCTGGCGCACTGGGTCGCCACGGCTGTGCGGCGGGCGTATCAGTCGCAGGGTCTGGCCCCCCCGGTGGGCTTCAGGTCGCATTCCACGCGTGGGATGGCGGCCTCTACGGCCCTTCTCAGGGGGGCGTCGGTCGAGGACGTCTGCCGTGCGGCTTCTTGGGCGTCGTCCTCCTCTTTCGTCCGGTCTTATCTTTTGGCCGGTTGGACCGGTCGGTGGCCCATTCCGTGCTGAGTGCAGCGGACTGAGTTAGACCGTTAGGTCCCTCTTCTGAGGGGGCCTTCGGTTTATTTCCGCCCTGGTTCAGGAGCTCTTGGGAGAGGCATCCTACAGGTGCGGTATATATATGTGTGTTGATCGGTCTGGTAGTCTACATCAGGAGCTCTTGGGAGAGGCGTCCTGTGACTACGGATGACATACGGTCTGTGTTACGTGGGGGCGTCCTTGGTAGGAGTGGCCCTGTAACACGCTTGTTTCTTCTGCCCTGAGTCCTCTCACGGTGTGAGGGTCTTGCTCGGGCGGAGCTCCAATCACCCTTCGCTGGCCTGCTGGGAGTACATGTTCCTACGGCCTCCGCGTTGTGTCCCACTAGCGAAGTCCTAAGAGACGTAGCACCATGACGTAGAATTAATAGTTACCTAATGTAACTTAAGTTCTACGAATAGGTGCGTAGTCCCTTAGCTACGAGCCCATCAGGCCAGCCCGGCTTGGCAGAGTTCAAGAGGGGGTGCGGCTGTGTGCAGGGGCATTTATAGAGGATGGTGGCTGGTGATTGGAGCAAATTATTTTGATCTCTCTGGCGTGTGACCTGGGGGTCACGAGTGATATCCCACTAGCGAAGTCCTAAGGGACTACGCACCTATTCGTAGAACATAAGTTACATTAGGTAACTATTAATTACGCTTTTACTGGGAATCAGAACAAATGTATCTCATTAGCAGCATTTGTTTGTGTAATTATGAACACTTGATGAGATCCCCTGTGCTTTGATTCTGTTTCAACACTAATCTCCCTCTTGATTATTTTACTCCACATTCTTACAGTAAAAACCCGTAATGTGTGAAATGTGTTTTTCTCTGACCTTTCAGAGCTGTAGACCAGAAACAGAGGCACTTTTACCAGTTGTATTGTGTCTTTTGCTCCATTCTGCAGTCACATGTCCCGGCAGCGTCACATTTTGGCCTGGTTCCTCTGGTCTTGGTTCTTTCTGGTTCTGATTCCTCTGGTCCTGGCTCCTCTGGTGATGGAGGAGCTGGTGTCTTTTCCAGGCCTCTCGCTGTCATCACTCACACAGCGCCTCTACAGGACAGAGCTTTTTCCACTCTTGTGAGAACAGCGCCACCTCTGGGAATAATATGTAATAGTATGTTTTGTTCAATTTGTAATGTAAATATTGTGAGCAACTTGTTAGAACCATAGACACATTGTAAGATTGATCGCTAGTGGCATTTCAATAAACAAATAAACGTCATTCATGCAGAGCCCATGATCTGCACGAGTGGCTTCCCCTGCTGGAGAGGGCAAGCAGCACAAGTCATGCTGGAACTGGAACTGCTGCTGTGGGGAGTGTCATCTGCATCAAAGCAAAAGGATGGCAAGTTTTTGACAATTTTGAGACACAACTAAACAAAAAAATACTAAAAACTGTAATTCACACCCGCATTGACACGTATGTGGAACTCAGCGTTGGATTTTGATATTGTACATGTGTCACTTTACAGTAAATGTATAAAAGGTCTCTCCTGATACACACAATATACTACTTCATGTATAATTGAGCAGTGAGTTTCATTGTGGGTTTGGAGAATGTTTGGCCCATTTCATGTATTTCTTTTTGGCAGCAGGATGTCAGCTAATCCCTTACACTGCTTCTAATCTACAGCCCATGTACCAATACAAGTACACATTTTTAGGTCGATCTTTTTAAATTGACAGAAATGGAATGAAGTTTAAGCCTTCAGCAGAAAACAAGCATTTAATAATTTGTCCCAGTTTGATTCAGAATGACCTTGTGCATATTTAGCCTTTGAAGACAAATCACAAATGTATAAACACGAATAATCAGACAGAAACATCCACTTTAAACATTTTATTACAGACAAAAGAAAACAAAAGAATTTGTGACACAATTTGTATGTAATTCCGGTGCACTGTTTTTTGCACCAACGACAATATCTGGAAAAATATTCATTAATCTAGTAGCAATATTGCATAATAATAATAAAAATTATAATGGAAAATAATAATAATAATAAACATAAGATTAAGCCAAAATTTTACTTCATTTCATTCATAAATACTGTATGTGAAACCAAATTAAATAGACCATATTTCAATAAAAACAATAATTAACAAAACAAAAATGGATTTCTTATACTTTACAAATTAAAAAGTACATTTGGCAGGTTTATACACAAACTGAAAATCCCTACTCTCCACTCGCTCTCATGTCAAACTCAAAGCCTGCGACAGTGAAAAAACAAAAATATATTGGAAAAAATGTCACAAAAATGTCAACACAAGTCTAAAACACCTAATAAAACTAGTCCAAAACTTTAAAACCCACATTATTTTTTTTCTTTAGTAACATTTCACATTTAGCAACTTATTGGTTCACCTGTACAAGTGTGGGGCTAACGGGGAGTGGGCGGCTGTCATCCACCAATCAGAGTCCGATCTGGGTCAGTCTGATCTTTTGTGTTGTATCTAGACTTTGTTAACTTCAAGGGAAAACCTATAGACGTGCTTAGACGTTGTTACATCGTTTACATAATAGAACCGGAACATTGTTTTTACGGGAAAAAGCGCATACTGATAATATTACATTAGCCACAGCTGCCCCGGGGAAAATTTGGCAGAGGTCGTTGGATAAAATGGAAAAAAATACATATACATTTTTGGCAAGTTACTGGAAAGTTCTGCGTCATATAAGGTTAAACTGTCAGACATGTTTTTAGTTCAATATAGCGAATAATACAGGAAGCAAAACATAAATGAATTGCTCAGGAAATGGTTAAAACGCTGCAGCTCCAGTTCTGACTAGAACCAGGAAGTACGACCATATTAGTCCAGTCCTCAGGTCTCTGCACTGGCTTCCTGTGGCTCAGAGGATAGACATTAAAACAGCTCTGTTTAAGTACTTGTCTCTCCATGTATTTCTGTGACATGTTAGTGCCATATGAACCAACGCAGACTCTGAGGAGCACAGGGACTGGCCTCATGCATGGAGAGTTTTGAGATTTTTCCCCCTATGTCACACGTTGAGTCAAATCTTGAATACATCACATCTTAACTAAGTTATAAGTAAATAATTACGCTAAAGGCATGGACTCGTAACATGGGCTCATTAAAGAATACAAGTGTTTCGCTGTGTTTAGTCTCAGCATAGACTAACAATAGAAATCCCACTGTGAGTCTTGGCCCCAAAGAGAGACAAGCTGTTATACATGATTTAAATGGTAGAGGAAACCGGAGCACCCAGAGGAAACCTACACACAGGTGAACATGCAAAATCCACCCAGAAAGTCTCTCAAAGTCAACTTAACGTCGTGAAGTGGAATTGAACCCAAGACCTTTAGGTGTGAAGCACTAGCGCTAACCACTGCACCACCCTGCAGCTGAGTTGGCCCTAATGTCACTTATACCGATTGGCTTTTCCCGTAAGAAGCCGATTAAGGCTAACACAAACAGGTTCCGGGAGTTTATGGGTAGCTACATCTTAGCAACCAAAGAGCCAATCAGGAGCCGTGCTGGTCTGTAAATCACAAATATTTACACCCAAAATGGTGAGTTTGACACTAATGGTTACAAAGCTAGAGGAGTTTGCTTTGTCGGTTAGCATTGTCCATCTATAAATGTGTCTTTTTGGATCTGAAGTCCAAACCAACCCGAGCCTGACTGTAACCAATGACAACATCCCCTCCGCCTGCTTCTCAAGGCCCACATCCGGTTGGTGTGTCTCGGCCTTAACAAATGCATCTTAAAAGAAACTGAATCTTTGAAAACCTGTAGTGCTGAAGTTCGCGAACAACCACAGCACATTAAACTCTAACTCTGATTTGGTACTGACTCTGATTGGGGGATGACAGGCGACAGAAGTGGTGGAAGGTGGAGGGCCCTAAGGGAGAGGTTTTCAAACTAGACCTCTGCATTCAGTCAAGTCCTGAGGTCGCTTTGCCATGTCTGCCTTTCGCCGCCACGACAACCAACTCTGGCGGACACAGCCTTGAATCTCGCGTGTGCGCATTGTCCCGCACCAAACCACATCAACGCAAAGAGAATGTAAAAACCCATGAATTAAAGCAAAGGGATTTCGCTGAATACACACACAGAAGCAGAATCCATATGTGGGTGTTATTTACACTCAAAACAAAAAAACGATTGTAAAGTCCATGTCGGAGATGACTTGCCCTGTGCATTGGTGACTCGATGAAGCTCCGAGCTGATCCGCCCCCAACAGAGGTAACAAAATGTGACTTTCTTACATTGCATTTGCTTCTCCCCGAAATGGGCAGTCCATGGCAAATATTGAGAAAAGAAAGTCTTTTAAAAATGAAACCAGAAGACATTTTTTTTTGTCTTCGTTTCCAGTTTGAGCTTCGAGCCCTCTGCCCTGGCAAAACGAGGAGAGTTCGTTGATAAGTAAAATCCAAAATAAAACTGAAGCAAAAAAAGAATCTAAAGCCCCAAGCGTCTGGCCGATCTAAGTGCTTGGCAAGAGGTGAGTGTACTGTAGCTGTCTTTGGGACCTTTCGAATCCGCGAGGAAGAGGAAACACACAGAAACAAAATGGTGTCGAAAACGGTGGTGTTGGGCTTCTCCCTGGAGTCTGGAGACTTTTGGAGGTTTTTCACATTCAAGTGAGGTAGAGAGGCTTGTCCCGAGGAGGCATGCCGCTGCTGCAACACACACAAACACACACACACACACGTTGAAATTATCACTTCAACACAAAACAAAGGCTAGTGCTCTCGACACACCAAAACTGAATATCTTATAGTTCTTCAATATACTTTCATTCAAATTATAATGCTAGCAATGATAATAATTAGGGTTATGCCCCATTTCACTGGTTTTAACTAGTTATAAAGCGCTTTGGTTCCAGATAATACATTTTCAGCAAGGGTTTTAAAGAAGACACATTTTACATTACTTTTTTTCCATTAAACAAGATAATGACTGTTTTCTGAGGGCCGCATTTTTAGACAGTGGTATTGCATTCTTTGTTGTAAGTGAGCCCACTTCATGCAATTATTCATGTTTAATTTGTCTATTATTATGATTATTTTCATTTTGAATATATATTTTTTTCTACATAATGCACATAAGTATATATATGGGTCAATGTAGCAAATGTTTTATAAATATATACACACACAATCCTGATTTGAAGTTGTCTAAAGTAACCTAGAAACACAAAACTGCGTCACAAAGACATAATGTGTTTAATGAGCTAGGATTTCAATAACTAGTTTGAACTTGTTTTTTACAGTAGTGGTAGTGTGTGTGTGTGTGTGTGTGTGTGTGTGTGTTTGTGTTACTTTCTGATGGTTGTTTTAGTTGTGTTTCTTTTAAAATATGTTTCCCATTCTGCAGGGGTGTCCAAACTTTTTAGTAAGAGGGCCACTTTAGTTCACAAGACCAGTCTTCACGGACTGAAAAACTGTCTTGACTGGCATCGGGGTGTTCTGAGATTTATGATGTTCTACAACAGATGAAGTTGGCTGAATGACAAATGTTTGCCATCTCACTAGCTACAGTAGCACCATTAACGGAAGTGACACAACCACATCAGCACAGTATGTACTAATAAACTCAATGACGTACTGGGCTTTAGAACAAGGTCTATATTGGCTGAGCTGAAGTTGGATGGATGACAAAACAAACTTGTGTTTATGATCTTAAAGACTACTTTAGGTTAGCATGGCAGAGGGCCACATAACATGACACTGAGGGCCGCATTTGGCCCCCAGGCCTGAGTTTGGACATGCCTGCCATACTGTATTGTACAGTATGAGTTGAATGAGTAAGGATGGTTGGAAGTTTATAAGTGTCTACTGTACTTCGTCGAACCCCTTCTCAAAACATGTAAAAATGTCTGTTTTTTAGTTCAGAGGTATTGTGTTGTTCATGTTCTGAAATAAACTTGAAATAATCTTTGTTTTCATTTCTTGCCGATGTCTTATAATGTGCAAAGACTCTGAAATTCCCTCTGTAAGGTTCCGTTCAGAAGCTTCTCTTATAAACTAATGAAGCACAAAAACACGATTCCACTTTAAAATAGCACTTTTTAAATCCACTGCTGTCATTAGAAATAAACCTTATAAACGGAGCCAAAAAACTCTCTTGAAGAAGGAATTTGTCGATATCATTTGCCAATGTTCAGGTAAATAGTACAAATGAGTGACACTGGTAAACCGACTGATGTCTGGCTTCAAACGCTGCAAAACAAACTTGAAAGCCTGCAGCGAAACAACAGCCATCAATCGCCCCCCGGACTCACAAAGTCAAAAATTTTTGCAGATCACTTGGATTTTTGAAATGCCAAACGTGACGTGTGTTCGCCGCTTATCGTTACCGACACGAGAGCAACGCCACCAAACGCAGCATAAAAAAAAACACATTTAAGCGAAGCCTCAATCTTCTTCTAAAGCCTCAGAATGTGACGTGACCCGGGGCGCGCTCCCACTTGACATGAATCGGCGGCGATAGAAGCCGACTGTGTTTTTTGGAGATTTCTCAGAATAGCTGTGTACACAAACACAAACTTGCCTTTGTAGCTGCTGCGTGGTTTTGATTCAATAAGGCCAAACGTAGTGAGGGGAAAAAACAAAACACAGGGACTTAATTGGATGTCACAGTTTTAGCGCGCGCCGTAATAGCATTGTTCTCCTCGCGCATTACTCATTTCAATTTCAAGGGGATGCTTCGCGAGCGCTTCTGTCGCCAAATCGCAGTTCATGATTAATACAGTCCCCGAGAGCGCGAGTCAAGTGGGCTGCAGGAAGTTACCGGTGGAGTCAGGGCGGCTTCTCCCAGTTCGCTATGCTTTATTGGTTATTGGTTATTTTTGAAGAGGTGGCTATGGACGGGAAGTGTGCGCTTGTTTGATCTGTTTGATTCTCTGATCTGCGTTGGCAAATCGACAACTTTATAAAGTCCTTCCAAAATGACTACTGTTGTGATTTAGGGCTATACCAAAAAATTTAATTGTAATGTATGTAGCAAAGTTCTTAATTTGATTTATGGATCGATCTGCATCTGAAAGCCAAATCCTGCCAAACCCCTGGAGCTAAGCAATGCAGGGCCTGGTTAGTACTGTGATGGGAGACCTACGGTGTCACAGTGGGATGTCTGCGGCTATAGTGTGCCAAGCTGTTGTTGTGTTGATAGGCAAGACTCTTCACCCACATACAATAAGTTTGACTGATTGGCTCACTCCTCCTCACTCCTCCTCCTCAGTGTGCCCCAGGGCAGATGTGGCTACAGTAGCAGTTTATCACCACAATGTATGGTTTGAATGAATAGTGAGTGAAGTGAAGGGTCTTTGAGAGAGTGATATGTAAAACTGATGCATAATTATTTTATTAAGTATAATGTTTATTCTATATTATTCAATGAAAGCAGATTGTTTCTTTGAGTTTGTTATTTCCGGCCTTTGATTTGTCTCTGTCCCCCAGCCACTCTTTTTATTTCTTCTTTGTGTGTTCCCCCTGGTCCCCCAGAATAAAGTCAGTTTTCCCTCTACATTTCTGTTTGTGAAATTGTTTTGTCTTTTGGTTCTTAAAATGTCTTTAGTTGTTATCTCGGACTCTGAGGAGCACAGGGCCTGGCCTCCTGCTTATGCCCAGAGTCAGGACTAAACATGGGGAGTCAGCGTTTCAGATTTATGGAGCTAAAATCTGGAACAGTCTTCCGAAAAAATGTGAGACAGGCCACATCCCTGGCAATGTCCAGGTTTAAAATAGCCTTTTTCTGTGCATACTTTTTTTTATTAAGCATTTATGTTTTAATTACAGATGTTAAAATACATTCAAGTCTCCAGAAAAGTCACGGATGAAACACATTATTCTGGTTCTGAGTAAGAAGTGACAGGTTAATCTCACCCGCAGTGGTTGGGCCCGCAGTCCCTGTTGCAGTAGTCTCCGTCCCAGTCTGGGTTTGGTCCATGTCCCGGGGCTGGGGCTCCTGGAGACTGTGATCCCCCCACACTGTTCTGGTAATCCGGAGGGAGGTGGGAGAAGCCCTGCAGACAGACGGCAAGAGACCAAACTCAGAACAAGACGAGAGTTCAAGCTGTGGTTAAACACTTTCACTTTGACTTTCTGTGCACAATAAGTCAAAATAAAGAGAGGAGCTCGGAGTAGAGACACTGCACAGAGCCAGTTGAGGTGGACTGGTCATCTGTTTGAGCTGCCTCCTGGCACACAGGGCCCTTGCGAAGCCACAGGGAAGACCCAAGACACGCCAGAGGGACTCATGAAAACAATCACCTAATTCTAAACATTGAACCTATGTAATAAGTAAGAATTTAAATCATATACATTTGACCTATGAGTCTGCAATACTCATCCTTCTTTCCCGTTTGTCAAGTTTTGGTTCAATTGAAAAAGAAAATATATCTTGTTTTTTAATTTAGCCCCTGACACCCCTGCTCTACATGGTCCTGGAGTTTTCTTTTGATACTGTCTTTAAAGTCCAGCTAAGTCCCCGAACAACCGACCAATCATGTCCCAGATCCAGCTCTTGAGACTGCGGTCACCCTAGCAACCTTGATTGAGCATCCTGGCTGTGAGCGGAAAGGCCCACTCTCACCATATCCTCAAGAGAGTCCAGTCTTACCCTGAAGACTTGAGGAAATGGGAGGAGACTGGTTTGCTCATGCTTAGTTGGAATGAAAACCTGCACCCTTTGAGAACCAAGTTGAATACCCCTGCTTTATGAAGTAGGAGCGCAGTAAATAGAATGAGCTCACATTTGTGTGTAGCTGTGTTTGCATATGGGTTACTCCACACTAAACTGTACCATTGGTCGATCTAACTTCAAGGGACAATAAAATAAATATATGAACTGAAAATGTTCGTAGCTAAACCTTTTTTAATACTATGTAACCTATAGATATATATATAGTATAATCTCTGAAGGGCAGCTAAAACTATTTCAAGATAAATGGTATTGAACTTTGGGGACATGATTGCTACATTTAGGACATGTCGTGTTGGACGCTTTGTGAACGGAAGAATGAACATGAAGACAGAGAAGACTATTTAATGGTTAATGGTTAGAGATATAACTATAATCAATATGTAATTATAGATTTTACATTATGCAAAAAAAATATTATTCAATAACTGCGGACAAACTAGGCGTTTTGGACGTAACAATCGTGTCCACTTTTATGTCCAAAACGGCTGTCTTGGAGCGCTGTTGATAATACGGGCGTGAATGAATCTGTGTTTAAGTAGAGCCCCCTTCACTGGACAAACAAGCTGGGGACAAAACAAGAGTGGGTCTGTGAATATTCAGCAGTAACGGTCGCGGACATTTCGGGAGTTTTTTGTGTCACAAAAATGTAACACATTGATACAGTTTACACAGAGGTGTACCGACCTGCTGTCCCAGTGGGGGCGAGTGCAGCGCCATCTGGTGGGAGATGATTGGCTGAGACTGCTGCATCCGGATTGGCTGGTTGAGCAGGGAGCTCTGGTGCAGGGAGAGCTGGGCGTGGGGGTGCAGAGGGGGGCTGATCTGGAAGGAGGTAGGGGGAGAGGCACTCATGCTGGGGGGCAACATCTGGGACTGGCTCAGGCCGTGGCGGGGCCCGTAGCTCTGCAGCTCGGACAGAGGGAAGGATCCCGGGGGCCCCAGGTATGGAGAGGAGGGCTGGGGGGGCACCGAGTACAGCGGCTGCTTGGGCTGCAGCAGGTGGGGCGACTGGCTGCTCTGCTGGGCACTCTTTGGTTCGTCGTTGTAGGTCTGAGGAGGAAACACGTGACATCACATTAGAGAACAATATCATGCATTAGTTAAGTTTGCTATGGCCCTAAAAAGCATGATTTGATCTTTACTCCCATCTGGTGGTAGAAGTGGGAACTCCCATTATGCTTTTGTAATACCACATCAAGTAGAACATTGAAATATTCACATCTGTAGGTGTCATGGTTAAATTTTCTGATCAAATGACAAAAGTGCATTGATTTAAGAAAAAAAAAAAAAAACTAAACAGGATCTTATAAAGGAGGTTTTTGTCAGATAAAAAAAATATTGCCAAACAACATCTGTATTTCAGATATTTACAGTAGTTATAAACTTCAAATAATGTTACTTTCCACTTGACAAATTTGAGACAAACAGATTTAATTTTCAGCATTTTGTAAAATTGTATTGTATTGTTTTTCTGTTGTAATTCTTGCTCTTATTTATATTAAACCTTACATTTGCCTTACCATTTGAAGTGGGAAATCTTATATTCTTCAACATGAGACAGGGGTCACTGATCATTTGTAATAAAAGATTCTGTAAAAATATGCTAAAGGAAAACTAATATGACTATTAATTAACCAGATAATCAACCAGGCGAAACCAGAGTCTACTGATACACACTGGGCCGGGCTGTTCTCCGGAGCTTATAACTGTGAAAATAGCGCATGAAAAGAAAAGTGCAATTCTTCCTGTCAGCTCCTTCACTGAGAGCCCACCATTAAGTACATGTACTTCATAATTACACAGTCTGGATTTCTAAAAGCTTTTCCCTCTGAACCCACTTGATCCAACTTTCTTATTGCTGTCTATCTTAATAATTACGCTCTGCACTTTCCCAAAGGGGGATCAATTTTTTCAGCCCGAATCACAAATGACAGAAATGTGGAGAGAATTGGCGTCATGTATTTTGTATGTGGCCTTGACGTTGGCGTTGGTTTGGGTTCAGCTCGCTTCGTTTTCATATCTGCAGCGTTATTAACATCTGTCCAATGCAGTTTTCACAGCGCAGTGATAAGTCAACAGCCTCTATTTCATTTGCCCGACAGCTTTAACCTCGTTCATTATCTCCAGCCGGAAAATGAACGAGATGCGGCCGTAGCGTCGACTTGCATATTTTGAGAATGGCGTTTTACACAGTCCATCTGAACCGTCTCAGGAGCTCCGCGGATTCTCTTTTCCTCACTTGCTTTTTAGCAGCTAAGTCTATACCAATAAAATAAGGGTTTCCAAATTTTTGAGCACAAGAGAGTGGCTTGGCTTCAAAATGCACCGACGAATCAGACGCTTTTGCACCTTTTTCTGTTGTCTGCGTTTTTACAATCAAAGAATGATCCATCCATCCATCCATTTTCTACCCTTTAATCCATTTCTGGGTCAGGGGGGTGACAGTCAGAGATGCCACCCAAGTCTCATAGCACCAGCCCCTCACTGACCCTCTGCAGGTGGTGAGTCCACAGGAGGACGGCTGCTCTCTGAGTGTGAGCAGAGCCTTGATCTTTCAGTGGGGGCTCAAAGAATGATGATATATGGATATAAACATGCCATTTAAAAGAATGTAAGTAAGTAAGTACACATTTGTATATATATATATATATATATTTAAACATTTAATGAATGTTCAGATCAAATTGCCAACTTTTATTGATATGAGACATGACAACATTTTTCAACCAAAACATTCTTCTTTTTTTTTTTAGATTTAAATATTTTTTATTTGAATTTTATTATTTCCGCACATACAGTTTTTGGGGACAGCAAATTCTAAGTCTAAATGTCACTACCGTTGGTCTCCTATCCTGACTTCTAACCTGTTCTCGAGACCCATTACTTCTAGAGAAGAAAAAAATCACCCTCTCCCATCCCTTCCCTGATCTGGCAACCCAAAAGAAAAAGAAAAAAAAAGTATAGTGTAGTATTTGTATTATGTTTTAATTTCAAATTGAAACTAAAATATATTTGTGTTTATCACTATTAATAAGTCAGTTGTATCTCAGCAAAAATAGCAGGTATAAAAATCATAATAAACCTGCTTTTCATTTAATTTCAGTCTCCTTTAAAAAAAAAAGCAAATCCATCCATGAATCAGACCAATAGGATAGAGATAAGATTCATACTAATAATACTTAATTGATCTCACACTGGAGAAATGTGCATGTCTCATCTGGCATGGGTAGAGTCACTCAGATTGTGCAAAAGACAAAAGTGTGCAACATGTTAAGGTTAAAATCATAGTCTGTGCAGGATATAATTATGTACAATAAAAAAAAAGAAAAAGAAAATCAAAGAGGGACCTGTTTGTGCTTCAAGTTCCTTTTATCAGCGAAAAGATGAAGCGATAAATAACTAATTTTGTTTTATAGGAGTTTTGTAACAGTGTGACTCATTCACTCTGGACCATAGACTGTATATATTAATGGACAGAGTCACGCCTATCTCCGCCGTTCTAACTAATGGGCCAAAAATGTGCTCTTCTGGAGCAATCCAAAATGGCCGCGAGTGGTCCCGCCCACAAGACAATTGTGAAAAAACGCATCTGCGCATGCGTCAGCCGGCGCAGCTCCATTCATTTGAACGAGAGACTTCAAAAATTCCCCGCGAGTAAACTAGAGTGGACCAAAAAAATCCACCCCCCTCAGCATTGACACACATGTGGAACGGAGCTTTGGGCCAAGAGCCAACTTTTGGTCCATCCTGTAAAGACGTTTTTGAGAGGTCTGCTAACGCTATATGTTAGCATTGGCTAATTCTACTTCTGGGTCCACCCCCATCGGCCCGGGGTGGTATTGCAAGCATGTCAGCGCACGTCATTTTGGCCACTTTTGAGCCGGGACCCGCCCCCATTGCTCTGGACCCATGTAACCGTTCCTTGAGCCGTTCCTTGAGCCGTTCCTTGAGCCGTTCCTTGAGCCGTTCCTTGAGCCTGTCCCGTTATGCACGCTGTCAGGAGCTGTCAGGGTTGATTAGCGTGTAATGGAGCACATTTGTATGACAGGGAGCGGGGCCGGGCTGGTGATCAATCGGCCCCTGACAGATAGATGGGGGTACAGGCCGTAAACGCTCACACGTGGACGCGGCGCAGGAGGAGAAATGAGGCTGTTTGCTGCAGAACAAATGGAATGACAAAAGAGATCTTCTCCACTCCTCACAGTCTGCTGCTAACACGAGACGGCACGACACTATGCAATCTGCGGGACACTCCTGCTGCACACGGGCCTGAAGAGGAGACGGCCGGGACTAGAGTGAGACTGAGGGGACCAGAGAGAGACTACAGGGACCAGAGGGAGACTACAAGGACCAGAGGGAGACTGAGGGGACCAGAGAGAGACTACAGGGACCAGAGGGAGACTACAAGGACCAGAGGGAGACTACAGGGACCAGAGTGAGACTACAAGGACCAGAGGGAGACTACAGGGACCAGAGGGAGACTACAAGGACCAGAGGGAGACTACAAGGACCAGAGGGAGACTACAGGGACCAGAGGGAGACTACAAGGACCAGAGGGAGACTACAGGGACCAGAGGGAGACTACAAGGACCAGAGGGAGACTACAGGGACCAGAGGGAGACTACAGGGACTAGAAGGAGACTACAGGGACCAGAGGGAGACTACAAGGACTAGAGGGAGACTACGGGGACCAGAGTGAGACTACAGGGACCAGAGGGAGACTGAGGGGACCAGATGGAGACTGAGGGGACCAGAGGGAGACTGAGGGGACCAGAGGGAGACTGAGGGGACCAGATGGAGACTGAGGGGACCAGAGGGAGACTACAGGGACCAGAGGGAGACTGAGGGGACCATAGGGAGACTGAGGGGACCAGATGGAGACTGAGGGGACCAGAGGGAGACTGAGGGGACCAGAGGGAGACTGCGGGGCTTTAGCCTTTCGACAAACTGTTTTAGCACTTAGTAAAAGTGAGTAAAGCTATACAACGCTTATACATTACTTTTACTACATCTGGGGAAAAACTGACATTTTTTGGGGGGGAATTTCTTCTATTTGCGAGTTCTAGTAGTTTCATAATGTGGGACTTCTCGTGTTAATTAGACAAAAGTGCCAATCTTTTGGAATGGACATAACAAAGCTATAACCCTAGTGAATAAATGTTGCTTAAAAAAACACTTTTTCAAATAAATTTTTTTACAGAAATGTACAAGATCCTCAATGTATGAATCCATTCCACATTTGTTTCAGTTGCAGTAGTTCTATCAGGAGGAATGGGCCAGAATTCTAGCCAACTATTTTAGGAAGCTGGTGAAAGGACCCCCAAAGCATTTGGTAGTAAATACTGGTGAAAATGTCTCTTTTAGTTCTGTTTTTGGTTTTTATTTACTTTTTGCTGCTCTGGACCCGTGTGTGTGTATGTATTTGTTTATGTGTTCTGTATAAATGATACAAAAATAGGATCATCAATATTGAGGAAATAATATGCCTGTGTGTGTGTGCCTGTGTGTGTGTGTGTGTGTGTGTGTATTACACCACATATAATATTGTATTGTGTGACTTTCCAACTGGTGCTCTGTGAATTGGGGTGCAGCTAATTGCCACCCCGCCCGACCCAGAAATGGATTAAGGGGAAGAAAATGGATGGATGCACTTTTCTACTGCTATCTTTTTAATTTTGTTCCACATCTTTTTGTATGTCAAAGGGGTGAGGGGACTTGAACGTTTGGAAGTGTGTGCTTCATCCAACCCCTTTTTCATAACATCTGTACAACAAATATGATGTTCTTTGTTTGGTGGATTGGTGCTTTTCAGGTTCTGAAATAAACATCTTGAGCTACAGACTGACTTTATAAGTAACAGACAAACTTTGGGGATTACATCAGCCCCTGGCAGAGGTAACAACAACTATAATATGGATCATGTTTCTATATGTTTAAGACACATTCTCTCCTATATTTACCTCCAAAGGCTCTGGCAAAGAAGGCTCATGACATCAATCTAAACCAGCTCTGTCTGAGCACGGACATATGGAAGCACTGTTTATTTTACAGGCTACACTTGTAATGCATTTACAAATAATGGCTTTGCTTTGGTCTGGGTCTCAGCATAAAAACCACACCATAGCACCGGTCATAAATGCTTTATATTTGACCCCTCCCCCACCTAAGAGCCCCCAGCCCACATCCTATGGAAATCGGGTATTGTTCCAGATATGGACGACCCCCCCTCCTTCTCTCCTGAGTCCCCCCGCCTTGCCCTATTAGAAGGGCATTTTCTGTTCAATCAATCATCAGTTTTAGCCTGTGTCGTTCTGTTACCTTGGAAACCAGGCTGGCTCGGTACGCAGCCAGTGCTTTTAGGTACTCCTTCTTGGCAGCCTCCGTTTTCCTCTTGTAGGCCTGAGAAGAGAGGAACCACAGGGTGAGACAGGAGCAGGCAGAAGTCAGAAGTCAGTGTAAAATAAATATATCAAAAAAAATTTATGACAGAAATTAAAAATTTATCAATCTGTCTATATCAGGTTTTCTGCCAATACTACTAGAAATGAATGTATTTCTCTAGCTGTGACATAATTCCACCTTTTAGTGCTGTAATGGATATTGAGAAAAAAACCCCACAATTATTTAGCAATTAATCAATATAATCCACATTTAAACCCAAAAACCACATTTTGAGGTTTAAGGTAAATTTGATAAATGAATTTAAACTGGAAGCGCCTCAGGTCTGGACGTTCAGACTACTGCCCCTGAGACTCGGCATGAAGCGAAAGAAAATGGATGGAATTATTATGCCGAGACATTCTAATATTTCCGGGTTTCCTGCCGTCCATAGTAAACCAGGTTGTCCAAGTAATTTAATAAGGAATGCTAAATTGAACCTGACAGAGAGCCAGGGAATCGCAAAGTATTGCTTGTCTAACGTTATCAGTATTTTAAAGAAGTATTTATAGAAAAAAACAACTACAACATACAGTCCAAATATTCTCGGAATATTGCAGCATTGATCATAAGTAGTTAATAAGGCTTTCATGGCATGATATACATTATTTTTAAGCAAATTCTCATATTTCAAAACATTGAACTCAAATAATGAGTCAATAATAATGATTGGAAAGGTCTAATATCTGTCTGCAATATGTACAGTACTTTGGTGCGAGGCCATGGGGGGACTTGTACACAGGCATAGCTGCTTTATGGCATAATACGTCAGAGCAGGACACGTCTCCTTTAAGGCGCTGATGATAATTGACCAAAACGACCCTTTAAGACGTGGCCTCCTTCCTTCTGCTGGTGACTGACCGCTCTTTCATCCGTGCTGATGAAGTGAAGGACATCTCTCTTTATTTTTCTTCACGCCACATTGCGATGACTCTTGGATTACCTCAATATAGTTGTTGTCATGAGCCATATTAGATAATAGCCTCCACCATCTGCCTATCTGGGCTGAAGTGTGCTCGGAAATTACCTGGCGGTTAGTGAGATGGATGCAAAAAAAGAGGTTTGTAATGGCTCCTTGTAAGCACAAAAGAGAAATCTAGCATTGCATTTGTAGGCTGTAGCTGTTTCTGTGCAGGAAAATCAATGACCATGATGATAATAACTGTAAGAGCAGAAAATAAAAGTACAAATTGTGTGTGTGTGTTCCCTCATATTTACAGCACAATATATATACACGCTGTGAATTGCTTTCCCATAACTGTCAAAACATTATTAGTCCAATTATGCATAACGGAGAGCTTGTAATAACATGTTTTGAATCTTTTTTAAACTTGCATAAAAATAGACTGAATCTGGATCGAAGACCGACAAAAAACATTTCAGTGTTTTTAGCCATGGGAGCATCTATGGCTCTCACCGCCATCGATGAGATATTTGATTGTTTAAAAAGGCAAACACAAATCAGGACATTGTATTTGTGGGTTGATGAGTAAAATGCCATGGTTTCTTTTGTTCTAAAATTGGGCTTTTTGGCCAGAGCAAATAGGTTCAACACTAATGGATTTGGATAAACTGTGAAAGAAGCATTAAAGTCCACAACCTACAACCTACATTTTACATTTACAATTTAAAATCTTGTGTTTGTCCCACAGAAATCAAGCAAATGTGAACATATCAGACAACATGCTATCTTTTGGTGGTCCTCCCTTACTCTGATCTAAAAATGTGACAGAGGCAAAAATACATACATGTGAAAACTAGTGATAGAAGCAAAATGTTTTGTATGTTGAAAAAATGTCTGTTGACTTGGTCTTGAGCTGTGTCTACACTGCAATACAGACCATGGGATTGTTTATTGCTGCATTAATTCACACAAGCAGAACATTTGTTGTGAAAATATATTAAACGTACTAATATTGAATTACTCAGCATAATGTTTTAAACTCCTGAGCTACCTGAAAGGAGGTAGTGAGCTACCTGAAAGGAGGTGGCGAGCTACATGGACAGAGGTGGCGAGCTACATGAGAGGAGGTGGCGAGCTACATGGACAGAGGTGGCGAGCTACATGAGAGGAGGTGGCGAGCTACATGGACAGAGGTGGCGAGCTACATGGACAGAAGTGGCGAGCTACATGAGAGGAGGTGGCGAGCTACATGGACAGAGGTGGCGAGCTACATGGACAGAGGTGGCGAGCTACCTGAAAGGAGGTGGCGAGCTACATGGACAGAGGTGGCGAGCTACCTGAAAGGAGTTGGCGAGCTACCTGAAAGGAGTTGGCGAGCTACCTGAAAGAAGGTGACGAGCTGCTTTGTTGGAGAGCCCTGCCTTAAACAAACTTGTTATTTCCAAAGTGTACAATATGAATTACATATTGTTTAACAGAAACATTAGCTTCAAGGCAAAACCGTCCAACTATCAACCAACTCATTATTCAAGACTTCCAACTGTATTCTCCGGCTGCCAGAACGTATAGGGCACAATGTACAGAAAGTAAAACAAAAGCAGCGATGATCTGGGAGCGCTGAGATGCCCTTGGGCGTAATCCAAGGACGAGGCGAGGGCTGGGGCAGAGCTCATTCAGTATTCTGGGCAGGATCAAAATAGAAAAGAGACAATGTACTTTTATATAGTGGTTATTGTGAGAGGTCGAAGGAAGAGTTAAATCCGTCGGTATAGCAGCGGCGGTGTGCATGAGTTGGTGTTGGCTCAAAGATTAACAAAAGTTTATCAGGAGTATTTCAAAAACTACTTTTTTTTTGCTTGTTTACTTATTGTATTGAATTTTCTTGGAATTGTGAACTAATTTTTTTAGTAGAACATGGATATACATGATTAATCGAGAAACATGGTTAAGATGAGAAAAATATATACAGCTTTAGCGGAAAAGAGTCCATGTGTGTCCATCTCTCCACCCATTTCCTCAGGTGTGTCCAGTGTTAACCTGAAGATTTGATGAAATGGCTGGAGTCTGGTGTGCTCCTGCTCAGGCTGGAACCAAAACCTGCAGCCACAACAGCCCTTTCTGGACTGAGTTTAACACCCCTGATTCAGACAGAAGGGGCGGGGAGACATACTTGTTCTGGGTTGTGCCAGTGGATGCTGACATGAGCGTGGCTGGAGCTAAAAAGTAACTCATTACACCAGCCATTCCCAAAGTCAGTAACACCGAGGCCCCCTTAAAAATCTGACGGGTCAGCGTGGCCCCCCCAAAATAATAACCAAGAAGACAACATTAAGAATAGGCTCTTCTGGTTATTTTATTTTGGGGAAATAGCCTCTGCTACAAACATTGTAATACAAAAATGATTACAGTGGATTATTCAAGTCAAATAATGAACACAAATATTTTAATATTACAAACAAAAAATTATAAATTTAACATTAAATAATTATATTATTTTTTTATTTTTTTTATGACCTCCCGCGGCCCCCCTGCAGTACCCTCGCGGCCCACCAGGGGGACGCGGACCCCACTTTGGGAACCACTGCATTACACTAATAAAGTTTTTTTCATTAAATATTATAATTCATATTCCTGAACTTGTTTAAATGTAGATGTTAATTTTGTGCACTTTATAATAGATTGTTTTGTGGACAAACCCACATGAGGCAACACTGACAAAAGATAAGCCAAACATTTATTTAATTAGAGCTAAAAAGTCTTCAAAAAAGATTTTCAAATATAACAAAGATTTAGACCATTATTTTTACCATTGATAAATCTTAAACATATTTTTTTTCAAGCCCTTCACTCAATAATAATTCTTCTCATTTTGTAAACTTTCTTTCAATGGCCTAAAGGAGTTGCCATTTTTATTTCTTGCAGGAAAAGGTTGAAGACCCCAATTTAAAGAGTACATGTTTATTTTTTATTTTGCATGATTGAATCTATTAAATCACAAATAAATATAATCTTGTGTTGGCTGATTGGAAAAGTCCAAAATGGCATCACTGTACTTCTATTTGTAATACCTTGATGGATTAAATATTACTTAGAGTGGAAGTAGGTCAAACTCCAAAGTAGTTCAATAATACGATTGATTTCAGTCCTTGTTGTAATGGTTTTGGGAGGATTCAGGAGATGGATCAGATCAGCAAATGAACTGGAGAAAACAAGTTTGCGTTAGTGTGTATATTTAGTGTGCTCAAATATTTACCAGCGGTCTGCCTCACTGCGTTTGCGACTGTTTATTCAGTACAATAATGGAGGATAGTTTTAGTGCCGTGCGCGCCTCTCTCCCACACCTTTCCTCACCTTAGCATCCGCTCGAATTAAATTTAGAAAGAAAATGATTTTAATGAGAGCCGAGGGATTGGGGATAAACGGGCAGATTATCCAGGAGCTCATTAAAGTCAAAAGTATCTCCCAGACATTTCACAGCACATAAAGCACAGAAGCGGCTGCAGCACTAGCGCCAACTGCAGGACAAACAGTGCTATTTTAAACTTCTTAAACTATACTCTCATGTACATCTGGAGTTGTTCAGGAGAGAGAAAGGGACGGAGTGTGAGATTGATGAAAAGCCAAAACTTCCAATTTTTTGTTCAATCTACTCTCTAATCTCACCAACCGTCATGAGCAACAATGAGAGCAAAGAGGGTGAAAGGAGGAGTGGAAAAGACAATGTATATATCTGTTTATTATAGGTTATCTAAATCAAAATACATGTATTCATTCTGCAGTACAAATCAGGCGGTAACTTATAAACATGATTTACAGATGCATATCTTGCAAATTCTAATTGGAATGGCATTGAAGCTGGGATATGAAACAATCAGACCACATATAAATTTAACTAGAAACTAGTGAAAATTTGAATGAAAATTATAACTGCAAAAACCCTGTTCTAGGTTGACCATAATGAATGAAAACAAGTTGAAAAACCCTGATCTTTTTGTCGTAAATGCCGTTATTCTAAAGGGTATTTTACATGATCTGCTCAACTGAGGGTGTAGACCAGGGGTGGCCATAGTTATGAGAATTATGAGGATTTTGGCAAAAAGAAAGAAAGTAACAATATTGGAAAAGCCCATAGACCAGGTGTCTCCAACCTTTTTCACCCAGAGAGCTACTTTCCCTGGACAATAAAGGCAGAGAGCTACTCCTTTAAGCAAACCCTGGGAAAAAGTCTGGTGATGGGTACACTCATTATTAATCATCACATAATTGTTGCTATAGTGCTCAAAGTCAGTACATTTACAATAATAAATAATTATAATGAAAAATACACACTGAAATATGACGCATATTATTTGATTTGTTCATTTCTAAATCCTTTGGCGAGCTACTGGTGGCTCCCGAGCTACAGGTTGGAGACCCCTGCCATAGACTGTCTACAGATGGACATTGCTAACCCCCTAGCTCAATGAAGCCCAATTGGGAAGTGCTCATTAACAAAGTTCAGCTCTGGCTCCAATTGACTTACTGTACATTGAAGTAGAAGTGAACTCCTCTGGCTCAGTAATTGTTTATGTCACACTCATTTAGGGCACACACATTTCATTGGTTTTGCGCTCTCTGTGATCCTGGTGTTTATATCGTGAAATTGTCTCAGTAAATCCAGATATTACCCATATAAGGCTTGTTCAATCATATGCCTTCATTCACAGGGGAAACTCGCTTGCCTTTGCAACCACCTTAGCAAGGAAAACATGAAATGGCTCCAGCTAGTCAATGTTCAAATGGGCTTCTTCCACATTAAGGCTAACAGTATGGTGACATCACGCAAGGTCAGTCCCCCATTGATCCACACAAAGTTAGTCTCCGGTCCCTGGTCTCCTGCCTACCTGCTTCTGCTCCTCGCCCAGGCTGTCCCACATGGAGGCCACGATCTTGGACACGTCTCCGAAGGTGGCGTTGGGGTTCTGTCCTTTGATGGCAGCCTGCGTGTCCCTGAAGAAGAGCGCGTAGGCCGACACGGGCTTCTGCGGCTCGTTGGGGTCTTTCTTCTTCTTCTTCTTCTGCGGTTTGGGCTTGGGCTTCATCATGTCCGCGGCGCCCCTCTTCTCGCTGCTTATCTGAAAAGCACAGAAGAGGCAGGGGTTCAGACTTTTGCAACAACTCTTGAGCAAGACATGCTTCAATAAGTGAGAGGTTTTACTGCACAGAAACAAAATGGAGTTATTCTTAAAACATGTTTGCTTCTTCAAAATATGGGGGAAAAATTGTTTTGCCAACGCCATTGAGATCATAAACACGAGTTCACAGTGTCATCCAGCCAGCTTCAGCTCCACAAACGGAATCCAGCTGTTGAATTCAGTTTGACAATACCACTACTTTTTTTCCATCACCCAAAACTCAGTGTGTGGTGCTATTGTAGCTGCTGAGAAAGTAAACATTCAGCCAACTTCAGCTCAGTCAAAAGTGCATCACTATGGAAATGGATCACCTAATCTTAAACTGGATTAATGTTGCTTTAAAAACAGTTTGGTGTTCAAAGTGTTCAATTTCAGTTCAGCTACTGTTTGTTGACATGGTACAAAAAATGGAAAGTGCCATGGTTGTTTCAAATGAGGTATAACATGCCAGGGTTACCAAATTAACATATCACATCAATGCTGCAAAATAGGGTTTTGGGGTTTAATTCTGTATTGAACGAGTGAGGGGGATTGGAACTAACCCCTTGTGTTGTTCATGTAAACATCTTGATTGATAGACCTTCGAGCTGTTTCTCCAAACACAACAGCCACTGAACTGAAAGGTCAGGTTTAAGATCAAGATAAAGGTCAATGTTCATCCCAATCTAATCATCCATTGTTAACTAGTTCATGTTGTGACTGTAATTCAAAATGATAAATAGCAGTTTCAAAACCTTTCCCAAGTATAAAGTATACTCCAACACTTTACACTCCCGCCTCACAGACTAGACTCACAACAGACAGTGTGCGTCCTGCTCAGACACATCAGCAGTTTTCTCAGTGGTCTCAAGAATAAAAACACAAACCAGGCCCTGTCCTGCAAAGCTTCTGACGTCTGACAAGATTATTCAAAACACTGCAGCCTGAGTCTTGACGAGAACCAGGAAGAGTATGATCACATTTGTCCTGGTCTTATGTCCGTGCTCTGGCTTCCTGTGGCTCGGAGAATAGACTTTAAAGCAGCTCTCTTTGGCCTCGCACCAAAATACTTCTGAGACATATTAGTGCTATATAAACCAACACTGAGGAGCACAGGGACTGGCCTGCACGATCTTCCTAAAAATGTGAGACTGGCTTCTTCTCTGACAATGTTCAAATCCAGGTTAAAAACAGTTCTGTTTAGCTGTTCATACAACTGAAGGGCTGTATATTCCCGCTTGTTTAATGTACTATTATTATTTACTATATTAATCTCTCAAGGGCGACAGTAGCTCAGTTGGTAGAGCATTGGCCTTTGGGCCTGAAGGTCGTGGGTTCGAGCTCACCGTAAGACCTACATCACGACTCCCACTGATGACTGCTGTCGTTGTGTCCTTGGGCAAGACACTTAACCCAACTTTGCCCAAAGCCCCAACTGAAAGATCTCAGCTCCTGTGGACTCACCACCTGCAGGAGGATCAGTGAGGGACTGGTGCTCTGTGGACTGGGTGCAGCTCTGACTGCCACCCCCCCGACCCAGAACTGGATTAAGGGGAAGAAAATGGATGGATGGATGGATATTAATCTCTATCTTGTTTAGTTGAGCACTTTGAGTTGCCTGGTGTGAACTGTGCTATACAAATAAACTTGCCTTGCCCTGGTCTTTGCCATTATGTTTTGACAAGCAGATATGGCCTCCTCTCTATTCCACACAAAGCTCACTAATCGCTGGCTCGTCGACTTCAAAAATAGCCGCTACAGTAGCAGCAGCACAGAGTCTGCAGAGCGATAACCGGACAAGAACTTGCTCCGAACCAGACGCATGTAAACAACAGCAAATCCTCTGAAATCACACTTTATTTTCCCTCCATCTTGTAGATCACAACCAAATCATCCCCACTTCTCAAGGATACTGTCAAATAGGATTCAATCTTTTTCCTTTTTCATAAGATGCACCCAACTTGTTTTGTCAACAACACAGCGCGGCAATCTCACGACATTTTCAGAGACGCCAAAGCGCGTTACGCTCAAACACACACACACACACACACACACGCACACACACACACACACACAGATACACTCACACAAAGACACACGCACACACAACAACCACGCGCACCACTTTCCATTTTCCACAGCGCATAGAGTCAATTCCCGGTCACCTGATCCCGGCTGCGATTCTATATGGAAATTGGCTTCTTTGCTGTGGAGAGAAGGCACGGAGAGAGAAATTGTGCGAGGGACAGGGTGAGGGAGGGGCAGATAAGCAGCCGTTGCAGAAGAAGGGATGTTGATGTTGCTATTAGCATCCGTGCAACATCATTTAACCTGATTTCATGGCTGCTATAACGGCGCCCAAAACAATCCAATTTCCACCCGTTACTGACGGCCGCGATAGAAAGTGTAATGGCAGAGTAAATATGCAGTGATGAGCAGGGCCGCGCGGGAAGAGTGCGCGATTCGCTTACGGGTAAAAGGTTCCGTGCGTGTCGATAGGGGTGTTTTTGTCATCTTTCTGCAGAGAAGGAAGTAGTTTCAATCACTATAGTCGGCGGGCGGCACGGTGGCTGAGTGGATAGCACTCTCGCCTCTCAGCAAGAAGGTCCTGGGTTCGAATCCCGGTCGGACCAGGGCCTTTCTGAGTGGAGTTTGCATGTTCTCCCCGTGTCTGCGTAGGTTTCCTCCGGGTACTCCGGTTTCCCCTACCACTAAAAATATGTCCAATAGTTCTGGCATGCGCTTCCTGTACTGGCAACCCTGCTCCCATCTCTGTGTGGAGTGAGAGACAAATGCCCAAAATTAACAATTGTAAACCACTCAGATCTGCAGTGAAAAGGCGGTATATAAATAAAAACTTACTTACTTACTTACTTACTATAGTGTGTAGTGATTGAAATTGAGTGATGAGACAAACGATTGTGATTGTTTTAATGCATTCACCTAATGTTGTTTATCCCAACAAGAAGTCGTGAAAAAGTAACATTTTGTGAACAAATCAGGCCACAACATGCTGTCTTCATCTTTTAGAGTTATCCTCTTATCTATTACATACGTGTGGTACAGGGGTCTCCAACCTTTTTCAATCGGAGAGACTCTTTTATACAAACTGAGAGGCAGAGAGCTATTCCTTTTTGCAGTTTTAATATAAATCGATCTATTAATTACGACAAAACACATGTAAGAAATGCACACTGTATAACCCTATATTTGTACTTAGACTACGAGATATATCAAAAAGTATTCATTCAAGAACATTTGTTTGATTCTAAATCCTTTGGCGAGCTACCTGAAAGGGGCTGGCGAGCTACTGATAGCTCCCGAGCCTCAGGTTGGAGAACCCTGGCGCAGTAGGATCTCTGGACCCTGTGAGTCACTGCTGAGTGAGGGTGGTCCTCTCTTTTTTCCTTTTCTGTCTGAAAAAGCTGATCTAAAGATATGGACGAGGGTTAGACTCATGCGTGTGAAAACTAGTGATAGAAGCAAACTGTTGAGCGTGTGACTATTTAGATTTTACTACAGTTACGATTTTGTGGTTTGAAAGTTAGGTACCCCAGCTTTAACGGTGAGACCCTGCTGATAGATCTTATTTATTTAATTTGGCGACAGTGGCTCAGTTGGTAGAGCATTGGTATTGAGCCCGAAGGTCGCGGGTTCAAGCCCACTGCGAGACTTTCTCCACCATCTCCACTGACGTCTGCTGTCGTTGTGTCCTTGGGCAAGACCCACTTTGCCTTTAAGGAGCGCGGAAGTAATGTTCGCTGCTTGCCTTGATGTGGATATGTGTACGTGTATGCATCAAACTGAAATTTCTCCATTGTGGGACGAATAAAGGACCTTCTTCATTTTGTGGACATTTTTAAAATCTCGCACGCTCGTTCAGGCTACTGGGCAACTGCGGCCTGATTTGAAACCTTCTAGTACTGAATTACAATATTAATGCACTAAACACTTTGCTTATACAGTATAGGGCTGCAATAAGTTGACTTACTTCCACATGAAAAGAAATGTATAGACATCCCACAACATATTTTAAAACAAAAAGTATTATTCTCACAATCTCACCGTAAACATGTAAACAAAACAAAACAAAAAACAACCCAATAATGCATCAAATACCTCCATAAACAGCCAACATTTTTGTACGCATGGTCACGACAGCCTGTACTTGAGAGACTAAGAAAAGAACAATCGTGTCTATTTTCTAATAAAAATGCAATGAGAAACACAAATCATTTTTTTCTTTTTCATTATTTTTTCATACTGGGTACTTTTTTAAATCCAGAATAATAGCACAGGCCATTGGGATGTGCGACCTCATTCAAAACCTTCTTTAATTCAGATCTTCTCATTCACTTTCAAAAATATTTCATCCCTTTTTCTCAAACCTAAAGCAAAACAAAGACTTGAAAATCTTTGTGGGAAAAAAAAAAATACATTAGTGGCACCGGCAGAACATTTAAAGACACATCCATCTAATGCATACTTATGAAAGCATTACAGCTCTTTTCCAGTCAATGTGAAAACACAGCAAACGACTTCTTTGAAAATCGCATTGTTTGTGTAAATGACAAACTGTATCGTCGCGCAGCGTGAAATGAGCTCATCAAAATTCAAGGTCTATGAGCGCGTTTGGCAGCGGAGGAAAACTTCAAAATGGCCATTGTGCGCTGGGAACATTGAGCAGATGTGTCAGTGCGAAGCTATTACCGGTCTACAGGTGGAATTCTGTGGGAAGATTGTAATAAATGTTATCTGCAAAATTTTTCTTATTTTACTAAAGAAGTTGATGTGCTTTGTTATTTCGTGTACTGTAGAAAATATATGGAGAAACAAGTGTGGAAACAAAAAAATCTGCTTTCTGCTTGTAACTCCCTGAGCTGCCACCAGAGGGAGGACTTCAAAAATCTCAAACAAAATCAGATAAAAATTATGTTGCGAATTGAAAGGAAAAAAAAGTC